GGCTTTTTAATTGCTTCGCCGCCTCGTTTGCCGCCCACTCATCTGAATTACGCAGCCACAAACAGCAGGGGGCGCATAAATAGAAGCAGGCCAATAAAAATTAAGGGCTAATTGAAGTGGTAAACTTGTTAGGGAAAACTATGAAGGGGTAATGAAAAATATTGCGGAAATTAGTTTGGAATTAGTACTAGAAATGTGTTTATTTGAAGCCTTAAAAATCATAGAAAAGGCTAGGAAATACATTCAAAGTTATTTTAATTTATTAATATTCTAACAGTACCTAAGATTGTGCCCTCAACTGTAGCTGGAAACATAAAAAAGAGAGCCGAGCGAAAAGGGTTTTCGTAGGGTGAAGGGGAAAAAGTGCAGGAAGCGTTGCGCCAAATGTCAACAATAATTTTTAATTAAGATTTGTTTTCGTTTTTCATATTAGAGTGAACCCATGCTTACTGCCTCCCTTAGCCGCTCAGCTCCTCCGAGCCTCAACCCCTTGACCTTTGCCTCCCCCCAGCGGAGCATAAAGCACACTGGCAGAAGGAAAAAGCAGCAGCAGCAGCAGCAGCATCAGCCTTGGCTGAGCGAGGAGTTAATTTGAATTTTATAGCAGTCAAGTTGTGTAATTTCAGCACCCAAACGTACATCGCCTGGCATATAACGTATACGAGCCGTTGTACAACTAGAGGCGTTGAGCAACACATGTTGCCCATGCAGCAGTGGGCGTGCCTTGTGGGCGTAGATGCATGCGAATGCGAGTGGATTTTCTTTTAGGGTTTTTCTTTCTTTCTTTTTCCATTTTTTGTACTTTCCAGCTCCTTTTCAACAATTTTCCTTGCCAACAACTGACGGATGAGAATGCAGAGGCACTGAGATACGAAGAACGAATGAAAAGTTTTTCAATTTCTTCAACTGCAATGGGTAGAAAGGCGGAGGATGTTTGCTCGGCTACAAGTTAATCTGGCCAGAGACTCAACTTTGCCATCCATCTTGGCAAGTGAAGAGGCGCAGAATGTGTGCAGTAGTTTCAGTTCATTTCCCAGGCATTCGTTACGTATTTTTTTTTCTTTTGCATTTTCTTTTTCTTGCCGCAGCAAACTTCTAATTTCGTTACAAATTACACATGTAATGCATATGTAGGGGATGCCATCCTATCGCATCCTATCGCATCCACAATTTATTAGCTGCAAATGGAGAGACCGCTTTTATCTGTTTGCCCCCGGGCTGCGTTGGCTCAATTACAAGCCAAGTTTATCCGGCTGCCAATAAGCTCAAGTTTATGGTCGGTCGGTCGGTCTGTAGCTCCCGGCAATTAAGTTAAGCCGCCCAAAAGAATGTGCTCGAAAAGAAGTTTTTTGGGTTTTTCTCACTAGTATGAGTGCGAGTGTGTGTGAAAATTGAATATTCCGCATGCCACATAAATTGAAAGGAATTGCAAAGGAAAACTGCAGCAGCACCAGGCGGCACCGAGTGCTTATTAAATTATGTCGGCGCTGCAAGGAAAACTTTCTTCTTGGCCATATTAAAATTGTTGGCAATCTTTTGCCTGGCTTTTCTGCGAATGGCCTGGCTGTCGCAGCAATTATTTCATTATGTGTGAGGCTCAGCCAAAAGCCAAAGCTAAAGCTAGAGCAAACTAAAGATTCCAGATCCATGGATTCCAAGGATTCTCTCATTCGAAATTATGCACTTGCAAAGTTTTTGCAACATTCCGCGCCAGACAAAGAGGCGTTGACTACGCCTCATTGTTATTATCATAATTGCATAAAGCTGAGAAGGTTTTCTCTTACTTACTTTTCTTTTTTTTTCCTTGGATGGCATAAAGATTTTAGGCGCCGCTTGCTGGCGACATTTTCCCCGTTTTCCATGCGACACGACTTAGCGCCTTATTTGGGTTTGCATTTTGGCCAAGTCAGTTTTAATTAGTGCAAGCTCCTGTAAACTGCCGGCTCCATTAATTTCCCTTCGCCAGCACGTGTCTCCTGGCATTTGGGTTGCCTTCCTCTCCTGCTCCTGGGTAGTGGACTGTGGATGTGGATTTTTCTCCCTTACGCATCATTAAACGCGCCCCGAGCCGGGCACACGCCAATTAAAGTGCCATATAATTTGGCCACCACGCCCAAGGCCGAGCAAAAAAAAAGGAGGCCCAAAAAGCAAACAGCCCAGGGATTGTGTTTATTTTCCTTTCCATTTTTCCTTGGCCTCCCAATCGGATGTGAGTGATTATAAATAAGAGATTTCGCAGAGGGCGAGCCCCTGACCAATTTGCTTTATTTTCCTTTGCTTTGGCCAACATCAATGATTGTATCAAATGGCTGGCTAAATGTTGACTCTGCTTTGTCTTGACTTGAGCGGAAGCGGAAATGTCCAGTACCCCAAGAATGGGGGCGTGGCAGATGGTGGATGTTGGATTTATGGAGCAGCTGCAGTGAAGCCTTACCTCCCGTTATCGTTTTAAGTTTAGCTGCTTGCCTGCCGCTCGAGGCGTTCGGCTGTCATCCTGACAGCCACGCCCCTACCACACACACGCCACAAGTTGCGTGCCGCACTCAAACACTTGCTTCTTGACGCTCAGCGAAATTCCGTCTTTCGCCGCCGGAAGTGCGTGGAATGACGCGGCTCGAAACTTGGCCTTCCCAAAATTATTTCTCTACCGATTTGCCTATGCCCAGGGAGAGCTGGAACTGTTTAGGTATCAGTTGGTGTAAGATTTGGGAGGTTAAGATGAAGTTTCTGCTTTTAAGGCATTCAATATTCCATATTCGTAGAATTTTTCATCTCATTTACATTATGATTTCCCGGAAAGCTGGTTTATGCTTCGATTTTGGAAAAATATTTCTGGGAAAAAGTTTTCTAAGGAAAAACATATTTTAGAAGGCCATTTCCTGCACTGCTTGCATTATGTTTTTATTATTAAATTTGAAAGAAATTTTGTATGTTAAATGAATAGACAACTTTTCTGTTTACTTACCTTAAATATTTTTTACTAATTTATGAGTTTACAAAGGTAGAGCTTATAGTAGATTACAGAACACCGCCTGCTGTGGTCTTTGGCTCTCAGCTTAACTATTTTTGAACTAATGGATCTAAGATATAAAGAACCTTACGGATAAATAATTAGACTGCAAATATTTAAGAAGCATTTAGATAAGTTTTATGAAAGCTTACCCAAACATTATTATTTACTGTATTTAGAAGCTAAAGGGAAAAATACATCACGAAAACTTGTTTTAGTCCTTCAAATGCCATTTTTCTCTCAAAATTAAGTTCAAACCTCAATCAATGATCTATTAAATCAATACAAAACATTGTTTTTATAAATTCTTGTCTAAAAATCAACAAAAAATAGAAACATTTTATGTAACAAATGCGATTCACCACTTTATAAATTTCTATACATTTTCATCCTTTTTGATATCAAAGCATTTTATTCCCTCATTTTTTCACACAACATTTTAGGGCACTTTTTTTCCATAGAACTCATACATTGAGGACGAAACATATCCATCAAAGGTGGGCTGGCCAAAGGGGCGTGGCCGTGTGATAGACACATGGTATTAAAATTACTGACAGCTACAATTTATTATCAATTGGTAAACAAAGAGTTTCGAATCGAAGCTCACGTAATACATTTAAATCAATTGCGGAAATCCAATGGAAATGTAATCGAAGGGGAAGGAAAGAGAAAGAGAGATGAGAGACCAAAGTGCGGGGATTCATTGATGAATTCGCAAAACAATTAGAATTTCAAATGAGGACAAAAGTGTAAAAGAGAGAGAGAGAGAGAGATCGAAAGAGAGGTGAAAATGTTGGATGGGACAGTGTCAAGGCAGCAAATGTATTCATTTCCACTTTGCAGCTTGGATATTTATTGCATATTTAATGAGTTTAAACTCAGACAGAAAATGAAATGCAATTTGCTAGGGCTGTGTGCGTATCTCCCATCTCTTTCCTATCTCTGTCTACCGCTCTCTTTAGTCCTTTCTCCCTCTAACTGCATTTGGGTGATTTCCTGTTTGCGGCCAGCAATTGATTTGTTTGCAATTTAGATCCAAATTCGATGCGCAAGGCCTGCTGGGAAATTAGTTCAATTGTTTGTGTGGCCAAAGTGTGAAAGAGATAGAGTCGTAGAGCAAGTGAAAGAGATAGAGAAATAGAAACGAAACGAATGTGGCTCAAAGGTAATGCCCAAGTCAATGGGCAGCTTTAAGTTAACATTGCGTATACGCCGCGTGGCACCCGCTCATAAATAACAAAATCGCATTAATTTAAAACTCATTTCGTGAATAAACACAGACAAGTGAATGGGTTGGATGGGAGTGCACACACATACACACTGTACACACACACGCATGGCAAACTGCATTTTAAATTAAAATTAAAAGATACTTGCTCCCATTATCGCCCAGCGGCGAGGACAACGAGGGCTGCGGACAAGGACAGTGGCGACAAAGGACGCTCGCGTCGTCCTTTCCCCGTGGCGATAAATAATAAATATTGAGCACGCATACAATTATGCTGATCCCCTTACAACCACCCACCTCCCCCACCCTCTCTCACTCATGCCCTCTCTCCATTGCATTATCCTGCAACTGCCAGCAGGTGCAAGTATCTAAAAACAATGCAATGATTTATGCATGCAATATTTTCCTTGAAAATTGCTCAATGAAACATGAATAATCGCAAACGCGTTTAACGCTGCGTATGCGTAATATTCACACCTACCATTGCCAGTGAGGGAGAGGTGAAAAAGCAAAAAGAAAAACAAACACCCCCCACTCCCCACTTAATTGAATTTTAATTTGCACTCTCCGTGCGCCCCTGCGCTTGTGATTGATTTTTAATTAAAATATTTATTGATTTGTAATTAAGTTGATTGACTTTTCGATGGGTGACCGCAACAAAAGCAAACGTCTGCTTAATGCGATGCCTGTAATCAATGAATATATATGCCATATATATATATATCACTAATTTCCGTTTATCCATCACTCTGATATTTGCAGATAAGATTTGGCTGGCGAAGCGACTGGATCCTGGTTGTGGAATCAGGTAAGGGGTTTACCCTGAAGGCATCATTGGATGCCTGAACAAACAATCATTAATATCAATTTGACTTGGTAGCTGGACTCTTCTCCGGTTTTACGACTGCTACAGCAACAGCAGGGACACAAATTATTTATTTAGTTCATTTTCGGTTATTCGCCTGCGGCAGATGCTCCAAGTTTTCTCCCCCACTCCACCTACCGCATCGAAGGAAAAACATTTCAGCCTCCTTTTGATTCATGGCAAATAAACAATAAATTAAATTACCACATTTGATTGCCGGGCTCAGAACAATTTTGATATTCCCCATGTGCGTGCAAGTCTCCCCCTTTCAAAGTCCCTGGAATATCGTTCCTGTCAAAACTTCCGAGTGCGTAAATGACTAAATGAATGGATGCATTATGTATGCTGCCTGATGTTCGGATGGTCCAAAAATTGATTTTTAAGTTATACGACCGTACGCATTTATTTGGCAATTGAACACGGTTACGAGTTGTATATGGCTTCCTTCGATTCTTCGCCTGCCAATGTCAGGGAATTGCAATTCCATTTCGCCATGCATCCTCCTCAAGGAGTGTGTATGCTATGTATATGTCCTTTTGGCCAGGCCATCGGCAGAGATTTATGGGCGAACGCACAAAAACGTTCATTGAAAACACATTTTCCATTTTGCCATCATCCCCACTTCGAATTGCAAATTCAATAAAGCATTATATAATATGGCCAAGACTTATACCCTCACACACATATATGTACATTCTCGTCTACCAATACATGCGGTGCCTGCGTTGCGAGTGCAATAATTTACAACATTTTAATCGAATTAGACGCAGCCCCCAGGCAGCTCCAAGACGGAATATTGGTAGATGGTTGATGGTTGATGGTGGATGGTGGATGGGCACTGGCCAAGAAGCAAAATGCATTTTAAGTGCCGCCTGGCAGAACTTTGGCACTTGGCAGCTGAATTCGCCATCAGCACCAGCACCAGCAGCAGCGGAAAGACAAAAAGAATGGCACACCCCGAGCCAAGGGAATAGTACTTGAACATGTGCCAGCAAATCTACGCCAGGGCCATCTTGAATGCTGAATGCCGGAATGTTAAAGGATTTAAGGTCCTGCCATCGTAATTATCGGACAGGTCTCGTTTATATAGGAAAACGTTGAGATTTAAGCTGGGAGGGAGTGTCTTGATATGTGGGAAGGAACATGAATAGAGTTAAAAGTATTTGATTAAAAACTTTATGGAGTAGAAATTCTTAAAAATGAAATTTAATAGTTTATTTCAGAGTATGAACTTCCTCCAAGCTGTTAGCTTTTACAGCCCTCATACATGAGTTTTTCATATTTTGTTGTTGCTTTTAAGAAGTTTTTAAGCACCTAATATGTCTCATTTACTTAGAAGTCCTGCAAAAATCCATCAAATACTTAACTCCTTAAATCCCATGTAAGTTTTACCCAACTTGTACTCACTTAATCTATGATTTTTATAGTTTTTCAATATTTATTCCCATTTGATTAAGCTTTTTATTCCCTTTCAATTGACTCCTTAACATAAGTGACTTGTTTTAAGATGCATTTTTATTTCCCTGCTGTCGGTTAGCTGTTCACGTCATAAAATCCCACTTGGAGAGCTGCTGCCTTTATGTTTTTTAATTTTAAACATTTGATTTCAGGCCACATGCAGGCAACGTGAGTGCATCGGCTGACGGCGGAATGAGAATTGTCATAAATTCCAGGCAATAAATTCCTATTTGTTTTATTTCGCCATTCTATTTTCGTTGCCCCGGCACAATGGCAGTTATGTCGGAGCCAACTGGCCTCCCCTTCATTTTCCCTCCTCTCCTCAGCGAAGCGTGCAAAAATAAAAAGCGTTGCTGCTTTTCTTGGATTTGCTTTGGTTTTTGTTCCTGTTTTATTTTTTTTTTTCTGTTTCATTCCTGGCTCTCAACTCGAGTCTTGTTCTGTCCTGATTCCTCAACCTGCTCCAGAGTAGCAGCTGCATTTTCCAGCTAACACCCAAAAGTTAGTATGCCCAAAGAATGATAATGAAATCTACCGGCATTTGGAATTTTTCTTATATATATTTTTTTCTTTTTGCCCTGTCTCGAGGCGCTAATAACTTTTGTCTTTATTTGAGAGGGGGAATAGGGGCTGGTAACAAAAATCGATAGAGCTCATGGCAAATGATTGGTATTTGGCAGGCGGAAAATCCGCTAAGCACCCAAGAAGACACATGCTCATCATCGCGGGTTGACATGTAATGAGCTTGAAAAGCCGACGGTTGGTTTGGGTAAGGAGCTGAAAAAGCTGTGTGAGTCTTTAAGTTTGCATAGTTTATTAAATTCCCTGGGATTCGGCTGGCTGATTCCATTAGCTGTCGTGTGCCCTCCACTTCCACTTCTGATTGCATTAACCCACGAGCGAGTGTGCCCTGAAAAGTATGCTACACGAATTACAATTTGCGTGTCCTTACTGCCTGGCAGTTGCAGTTGCATTCGCTGTTCTTCTTGTTGTTGTTGCCTTTGCGAATGACATGCAAACGTTGCATTATGAATGTTATTATAAAATCTCGCTAGCTGTGTGTGTGTGTGTGTGTGTGTGTGTGTGTATGCATTTAAACGACTCTATTTACCACAAAATGGCTGCCAAACAACAACATGCCAGCAAACAATGAACGATAATAATAATGACACAACAGCAACAGCAACACAGCAGCAGCAGCAGCAGCTAAAAGTAGCAGCAGTAGGAAAAGCAGCAACAGCAGCAGCAGCTGAAAAGGCAAACCTTTTTAATGGCCACAGCGAAATATACTCTAGTGGGAGTTACATACGAGCTTGCATCTGTGTGTGTGTGTGTGTTTGTGCACTTTGCAGCTATTTAAAATTTAAATAATAGCAAAATACAACGATTACAACGATGGAAAAAAAGGCAAAACGAGAGAAGAACAACCGCACGGAATAATAATAAATCATGGCAAATATATATTTTCATACGCACATGTATGTTATACTCTATATATGTGTGTAATATTACCACCAACATTGTTGGCAGCGTTTTGCCATTTGGGCCAATGTTTTGGCCTGGCGCCGCGTGTTGATTTAATAGTCGTGGTCACAGCCATTATGGCATGCTCATGATTGCCCCGAAAAATACGTGAGAGCCCCACTCCTTTCCATTTCCCCATATATCGCACATTGTTCCGGTTCGGGCTTTTCATGCAAATTTCCCAGCCATTATTTATTGTGTATTTAAACAGATTACGTGTAAGCAGCGTGGGAGCAAAAGCAAAAAAAAAAAAAAAAAAATGAAAAGAGGAAAGCAGAATATGCCAGGACTCCCGCAACCTAATGGCCAGCAAGCTACGCAGATTCCAAATTGAAAAAAATAGGCGAAAAGTGATGAGATGGTGGCAGCCAAGCAAGACGTCGACATCTGTAATCCCCGCCTGCAAGTGTGCCATAAAAATTCAAATTCAAATTCAAATTTCGCCCCGCTGCTGCTGCTCATATGCTCCACAAATCCCACTTAATTGTTCGGTGCCTGTGGTCGTCGTTCTGCAATGAAATTTCATGCATTCTAATTTATGCAAAACTTAACAAAGGATCTAGCCGTTGCTGGCCACATTGCGCCTTCAGTTTTGTTTCGTTCTGCACTTGTGCATAAGTACAATGGCTAAAAATGAAATAAACAAAAAAGAGAGTAAGAAAGTACTAGAAAAAAAAGAGGTATAAAATAAAGGAAAAAGAATCCCGAATAAAATGCAATGCCAAACAAATGCAAACCGAACTCAGCTGAGGCGAAACAGTCAGGCAACCAGCCAGCGGGCCACTTGGCGTATACGTAATTCGCATTTGGGCAGCAGCAACAACAGAAACAACACAGCAAAAACACAAACAACAATTGCAATGGCTACGTGCCAAGGCAGGGGAACAAGGAAAGCAAAAAAAGGGAGAGAAGAGAGAGCGAGAGGTAAACGGTATTAATGGCAGGACCTTCTTTTTGGCAGCAGTTGGCAAGCGTAACAGAAATAGCTGCAATGCGACTTTTTCGCTTTTTGGCTGTTGATGTCTTTTCTGTATATGTTGCACGTGCAACGTCTCTTTACATACATATACATATCTATATGTACTTGGTATATCTATCCATTGCTGCAACATACAAATCACTTGAAACTTTACAGATTTCCCAACACAAAAAAAGACAAACTTCCCATAAGTAATCGAATGCTAATGGAAAACTGTTGCTCATAAATATGCCAGCCAGCAATTTGTCGAAGGCAGGCCATAAAAATACAAAAAAAAAGAAAAAACTGAAACTACAAGGGCCATTTAACTTATGAGTGGTGTAGTCCCCAATTTCACCCGGCCCCGCCAAGCATCACCATCCCTTTTGGGCCATCTCAGGTTTTCCTTGGCCCAGGCCAATTGCCAGCGGCATCAGCGTCGACGGCTCTTCAGCGTCATCAACACATCGTGTACGTGACTTTGCTAACAAAAATTAACAATTTCATTAGTGGCCCCCGTTTGCAGGACGAAGGCTGAAGATTGGCGACTGGCATCAGGAGACTGGTGACTGAATGCTGGTTGCCGCTTGCTGGCTGCGGAATGCTGAAGGATGGTTCAAGGAGATGACGTAGTGTCAGTCGGAGAATGGAAAAAAAAACGAAAAGCAACAGCAGGGCACAGTAAAAAATATTCGAGGATTAAATTGGTAATGATTATTGGAAATAATATGTAAGCGGAGTTCAGGGCCTAAGAAAATGGAAAACAAATTTGAAACATACAAAATATTTCGACAATCTAAAAGTAGGCAATGAAGAAGAACAATTTGTTTTTATTTGCCCTTTTATGTACTGCCTAATCGTGTTAACATATATTTATCCATGAAAATTATATTTAGACTTAATTAAACACCGAATAACTGATCAATCGCTATGACATTTTCTCACTGTGCAGAGCAGTAAGTAAGAAAAAACAGAAAAGAGCTGACGGGGGACGAAAAAAATTGCTGCCACTTATCAAACAGACGCCCACACACACACTCACTTCCTGTCTGTCTGTATAGCTATCTCTTCTTTCTCCTTTCACCTCGCATATGTGTGTTTCTGAGTGTGTATTGGTTTGTGTGTGTCAAACTAACGAACCGCGCTGTCCTCACACGCCCCCTTTTACCGCCCACTGCAGTCATTTACAATACGTCTAAAAAGGCGCTGCGTGCCGTACGTGCATCAAGTGCGCTTCAAATGCACTTCATTGCCTCCGAGATACACACACATA